CTCACTCTCACTCTCACTCTCACTCTCACTCTCACTCTCACTCTCACTCTCACTCTCTCTCTCTCTCTCTGTCTCTCTCTCTCTCACTGAGGCTATCCGAATGCTATACTTGCTCAATCGAAGGTCTGCAACTATGGGGTGCGTATTGATTCATCAAACAAAGGTTGTTTTTGGGACCTTTGTGTTGGAGGTGTAATTCCATGAACCGGCCATCATGTGGAACACAAACGGACACCAAGTTGGCAATCAGGGCTGATGACAAAGCCAACCCCGTGATATTCAGGGCTGCTTCTTTTTTCTGCACAACACTCTGACCTGCGCGAGAACCCAACAGTAAAAAAAAGATGCAAATCGCGAGTGCGAGGATCATAACATGAGAGTTTGATATGGACGCAGGGCACCTACGAGTGTATTCGATGAAGTTCTTGCGCAAGCACAGGGCTCCAAGCTAGCATTAGCAAGAAGGAGCCAAACACGCACAGGAGAAGGGTTGAAAGAACCACAAGAACCTCTGAGCTTCGGCAACTAGTCTGGAGGGAGCTTTGTCAGAGCTGAAGAAGAATCTATACTGTCTATACTTTCTTGGGTGCCCTCTCTTGCTTTTGCCTCTTCGCTAAGTGCTGATCTTGGTCTCTTGTAGTGCCATAATGTCAATGTGCTGTCGGTCCATGATGTCCATTACTTGTTCTCTTTGACCGTTGTTCGAACCTCTGCAATTTAGAATGGCAATATGCCTTTGGTGCCGCTGCACAATTGCTGCTTTTGTGGGCGATGGAGGAATGGGAGAATCTGGAGTGTCAGAGCTGCCAGTGAGTATGCGAGTTATTATTATTGATTCCGGAAAAAAAGAAAGCAGTTGTTGTTTCCTTTTAGCCTGCTTTTCACAGATTTGCACCCAGGTTTTGATGACTGTGCGCCTCTGCTTTTTGCATGATTGAAAGAGTTCCTTCCTAATCTTATGGCTGTTCTCATGTTCTTGTCTGGTGGATTTTTGACGCTAGGTCAGCATTCATGCTTCAGTAGGTTAGGTTGTACCAATTTTCAGACTTGTCTTTTGTGACGTTTGGACAACAATGTTTTTTGGGCGGCATGGTTTTGGTGCCTATTTTGATGACGCTGCGGGATGGGGGAAGCACCTATCTGCGCCGTCAACCCGGCTCGCCTCGAAAAGGGAGGTTGTTCATCGTTAATACATATGTTTTTTCTTGTATATTATTCAGCTTCCGATAACTCATCCGTGCACATCCAGGATCTGTGGATTTGATTAGTGGCGTTGCTGTGAAAGAGTGGAACTAGATTGGAAGTCCTGTTCAACACAATTGAACGACTTCTATATAATATATATATATATTTTTTCTCGTGTCTTTTGCCTCTGCATGATCTCTCAGCCGTGTTGGCTTGCGAACAACGTGGGGAGGCTCGTCTGTTGAGCTTTACTGCCACATGGTTTCGTCAGTGCTTTGCTTGGGCCGAACTGCGCGTTCTTTGTGATGGCGTTTGCCTTGCAATTGATGCAGAAGAGGCGTCCACCCTTCCTCCACATTTTGTGGCTGCGGTGTCCTTGCCACTCCGGTTTCACCTGCCATTCACAGTCCCAGCAAGTCGACTGCACCAACTCCTCAAGTTTCTCTCCAGCCGCATGCTGCATCTGGCGCAGACAATGTAGTTTGTCTGCATGACAAACTGGTGCTCCGTCATCTGAGGGTGTGTTCCCTGCAGAAGACTTTGGATCAGCTCTGTCTTGGTCTGGGTTTTAGCCTGGGCTCCTCCTGTGAGTTCCACCGAGGCTTGACCTGGACAATCTTCCTCATGGATCATCTGTAGAGCCTCAACTTTGAGATGCTTGGTGATGCGTTTGTTGCGCCACTGGCATTGGAGCCCACGGGGCCTCGGGAGCCATTTGTGCTTGTGAGACCCTTGTGAATTGCCAATGTCTAAAAAGAGCTGGTCCTTGCGCGCTTTGGCTTCTTGCCTATTCTTCTTTCCTGACTCTTTGGCTTGGTGGAGATAGTGGTCTTTTGTCTCCAACAAATGCCGAATCCTCTGGATTGCAAGCAGGGCAACCCGGCCATACCTGTGATCTGTGAGCCGGAGCCCTTCCTCTTCACTTTCTGGTTTCTTGGACATGGCTATTTCTTTGGCAACCTTGTTAGCATCTCTCATTCTGGCCTTGACTGTATAGGGCCCTGGCGGCATCTCTTTGAGCTGTTGTTGGTTCAAGATCATTGGCCGAATTCTGCTTCTCTGATCATGTGTCACCAAAGCTTGCAAATCGTGGAAGGTCTCGGCATGTTTGCCATGAACCCAAGCTTCCCAGGCCTTGGTGGAGAGGATTTGCACCCTCACCTGCATCTGCAAATCCACGTAGTGGGCCAGCATGCGTAGCCCGTAGTACCACGCACGGTCTGTTGACTGCTGTTCTGGCAACACGGTTGTGACCGCACCTTTGCGGTATAGTTCTCCGTCGACCAATGTGTGGCGCACGATTGCCACAACAAAATGTCGTAGGCGAGGGTCGGCGCTCGTCTGTGAGAGGCCAATTGTCACCACATCAATGCCCTGCAATCTGACCTCATCACGCACAGTCCAAGAGCCCCAAGTCTGGACCGCCGCGCCTCCTGTGGACAGCTCATAGCGTGGCAATTGCAGGAGGCCCTGTGACCAAAACTCCAAGTTCAGACCTGATTCAATCTCTTGTTTGTCAATCGGATCTAGCGGCGGAAAAGCCTTTTGAGTCTCCTTGCACAACCAGAGCACATGGATGGTGTTGGCTTCAACACCACAGTGAGGGCAAATGAGCTGTCTGATGCCGTCTGCCTCCGCCGTCTTGGTGACAAGCGCTCCTTGGCGCCATGTCTGGAGTGCACTGTTTTGCGCCTTGTTGAGGCCTTTGGACAGTCTTCTCCACGGCAACCAGTCCAGAGGTTGTTGAACTTCTTGCAACAAAGTTCTTTTGTTCACCTTGATGACTGTTTCCCATTGTCTTGCACGCTCAAGTTCTCTTTGGAGGTAGAACCACTCCGCATTCATGTTGAGCTTGAAGTCAGGATCACCATTGTGTCCAGGCTTTGTCCACTCATTGCGCTTGTCTGTTGTCCAGCCTCTTTCCATCAGGTAGCATTGCAAAGCTCTCACTGGCCCTTTGGCATGCTGCCAGCGATACTGCACGTTCTGGAGTTTATCCCTCTGTACAGCCCACGCTCGGCTCAGATCTTTGGCCAGAGCTTCCGGCCAGTTGCCATAGAATTTGTGGTACACCTTGATCTGTTCGGTGAAAGCCGCATAGTCTGGGTCTTTGTGCCGTGGGTGCATTGAAAACAGGATGTCCAAGTTTCCTGTCTTTTGCAAGCCAATCTGTCGCCCCATAGTTGCTCGGATGCGTCGTCGAACTTGTGGAGCTAAGCCCATGGCCTGGTGACCCCAGCTTATGCCAGCAATGATGCTGCCCTTGTACAGCTTGAGTTTGATGGCCCTGCTGGGGATTTTGAGCGATGCCAGCTTCGCTGTCTTTCTTCCCGCTTTCTTGCGTCTTGCTTTCATCGTTTGCACTCGACGAAGGCGGCCTGCTGTGCAGTCTATGCCTAAGTCCCTCATCACGTCGTGAACTTTGGGCCCTTCTTCTTTGAGCTGTTCGGTCAAAATCCTCTTTGCAGCTGCATTTGACACAATGAATCCAGTCTTCTGTTCAGAAACTTTCAAATTGTCTTTCTCCAGCTCTGCTTTGATGAACTCATAGGCCTGGATTGCTATGCGTGCTGCATTTCGCGGACTTCGATCAACAACATCGAAGCTAAAGTCGTCTATCCACAGGTCAGAGTGGAGTTTGGGATATTTTTGTGGAATTCTTTCATAGCTCTTTGCAGGTAGACCTTTGCAGCCAGAGGTGCTTGCGGATCTCCGGCCAAAATGCCGCGCGTTGTCCAAATTGGCTGTGATGCTTCACCTTCTGCCTCCAGGATTCTTTGGCCAGTGTAGACCTGCATTGCCATGGCTGCACGCGTAGCAGGATAATCTGACTCCAGCCATCGAATTGCCAACTTTTCCAAACTGATCCTGTCATAGAAATTTGAGAGGTCCAAAAGCACCGAGATGACCGTTCGTTTGTGTGCAGCATGGTGTTCAGTGAGAAAAGCTCGTTTGAGCGCCACTTGCAAACACTCCGTTCCAGGAACCGCACGCTCCCATGGGAAATCACGCTAGATGTTTCTAGCCCACGCTTTGATTTGATCACTTCGAAGGCGACACCAAAGCCTGTACATGGTGGCCACAAGAGCGATGGGTCGCTCTATGCTGCTGTTTTTGGGCAGCATGGCAATCAATGAGGTTTTCCATTGGCTGGGGATCATGGCCTGTTCCTCAATGATTTGAAACATCCCGCGCAGGTCTTTCATAGCCTCTCTGGGCAATGAGCGGATGAAGTCGAAACCCAATCCGTCAAGTCCTGGAGCTTTGATTGAAAGTGTCTTGACTATTTTCCATATGTGACAA